ATGCTTGCTCTTGCCCTACAAAAGCATTGCCCCCTCCCCCGTCGCCCCAGAAACACAGATCGCGTTCGCTGCCCCTCAGCGACCTTCAACGTAAGACGCAGATCGCCCGTAAGACTAAGCCAGGACATCATAAGATCGAGCGAAGATAAATCGAGCCTCTGAGATCCGGCGGCTCTGGAAAACGTCACGGGCGCCGCGGCCCCCTCAGAGCGTTCCAGAACGCTCTGAGAGCGTTCGGGAACGCTCTAGAACGGATTTGCCCTCGTCCTAGCCCCGACCGAGCCCAGAGAGCGAGGCCAGAGGTGGCGCTGAGCTTCGAGACCAGCCCAGACCGCCCTCCGGACCTCTCGAGGCCCCAGGATCGCTCCCCTTTTCCCTCCAGGTCGCTCTTCCCTCGGCATCCAGCTTCGCGAGAAACTGCGACTCCGCTGGGCATTTCTCTCCCAGCGAGTCCGAGCATGTACTGCCGGAAGAAGTGTTCGGAAGCATCCAGGGGGCCAGGAACCCAGACAAAACGAACTCTGCCTGGCCAGCGCGAGGGCAACAGGGCAATGAGAGAGGGGAAAGGTGTGGCAGGGGCGTGACTCCAGCAAGGCTTCGCTGAACAATGCACGACGTTGGGTCTCGAGCCCGTGCTGTGAGGCTGAGCGTTCCTCGATCTTGGGGACAGCAACACGGCGAGAGCGCCCGTCGTGAGCACTTCTTCCCTGGGGGTCTGGACGCGCACGCGGGCATGAAATTCGCGACCTCCGCGCTGCCCGGCAGGGGCCACGGCAGGGAGCGCCCTCTCCAGGGCCCCAGCTCTGGCCGGCACCGGCGCGCTCCCCCGGCACGCCGACGGCATAATTCTCAGGGCGGGGGGACTGACCTTCCGACGGAGCGTCCCGATCCCAATCCCCCCCCACACCGCCCCTCAACGCGCGTCCAAGCTTCTCACCCCCCCCACCCACCCCACCCCCACCGCCCCTCAACGCGCGTTCAAACTTCTCACCCCCCCACCCACCTGGCCCAGGAACTTGAGCTTCACGACGGCCATCCCCGCCAATCCCCCCCCCGACGGCACGTGCCCAATCTCCCCCCTCGAACCCACGGGGGAGGGGCGATTATTATGCCATCAGAGTACGCCGACCGCGGCATGCTCCATCTGACTTCAAAGGCGGCCCAGATTTCTGCACGTCGTGAGGGTCCTCCCCCCCTGCAGGGGTTGGGGACGTTGTTCGCGTCGCAATAGTAGTCCTGGCACTCGGACACGTTGGGGTTCTGCCTGCGCGCGCCGAGCGGCGGGGGCCAGCCCACTGCTAATAAAGTTGAGGTGCCTGCGCCTCCGACTCATGTTCCTCCTAAACTCCGCAATCACGAACTGCAAACACTCCATCCGTCCTACTCACTATCCCCTCAACGCATGCGGCATGGTGCATTCCGACATACGGCTCCATCCGATGAATACCCGACGACCGGACGAAGGGACATGCCTCCGGCCGCCAAGCCTCAATCCTCCGCGACGCCGAAGCCTCATACTCCTCCTCAAATACTCCTCCTACTCCTCCTCCTCCTCCTCGTCCTCCTCCTCCTCCTCCTCATCCTCCTCTTCCTCTCTCCTCTCCTCCTCCCCCTCCTCCTATGCTCCTCCTTGCTCCTCTGCCCCCTCCTCCTCCTCCTCCTCCTCCTCATCCTCCTCCTCTTACTCCTCATTCCCTCCTTCCTCCCCCCTCCTCCTACTCTCCTCCTCCTCCTCCTCCTCCTCCTCCTCCTCCTCCTCATCCTTCCTCCTCCTCTCCTCCCCTTCCTCCCTCCCTGCCTCCTCATCACTCCTCCTCCTCCCATCCTCCTCCTCCTCCCTCCTCCCTCCCCCCTCCCTCCCCCCTCCCATTACCTCCCCACCCTCCTCCCCTTCCCCCCCTCAATCCCTCCCTGACACCCCTCCTTGCCCCCCCCCTTCCCTTCCTCCCCTCCCTCCCCCCCAGTGGGCCGCCGTCCCGGTTCGAGACTCGGGTGCTGCTACCAGGTGGCAGCGGCCTCTGCCTGACTGGCGGCCGCGCGCGCTGGCCCACGCACCGTGTGCCACGCCAGCGCCTGGGCGGCCTGGGCCCGGCCGCGCCCCGCGGGCGGGCCGCCGATCGGCGCGGCCCCGCCCCCACTGCGCCGAGCCCGCGTGGCACCGCCGCGCCCGCCAGCGCCGTGCCGACTCTCGGACGCTGCTGCGGGTGGCCGCGGCCACTCGACTCCTGGCACGCCACCACAGCTCGGGCGAGTCGGGACGCACGGCGCACCTGGGCGAGGACGGCGGCAAGAGGAAAGGGCGGCGTGGGCCCTCTGGCGGCGGGGCTCCTGGCTCGCGCGCCCAGGGGCCGCCTCGGTGCCGCCGCCGCCGCCAGGCTGGTGGTGCGGCACGTGCGGCGGAGTCAACGGCCCCGCGGACTTGCTGTGCCGTACGTGCACGCCCGTCCCCCCGCGCGGGCCTGTGCACGGCGGTGGCGGCCAGGGCGGCGCTCAGCAGCCGCAGCCGCGGCGGCAGAGCGCCTCCCAGGCGGACGGGCGGCAGGGCGAGCAGCCTCGTCCTCGCTCGGGCTCGCGCCGCCGTCGCCGTAACTGCCAGCGTGATCGTGGTCGCCCACGCCGCTCGACATCTCGTGTGCGCTTCGCCGACGACGAGACCGATGTCGAGCCCGACGGCCAGGCCTCGGACGGCGACGAGGAGGTCCGCAGCCCAGCGCTTGCCCATCTTGCCGCTGGACGCGCGGGCCCACCCGGCATGGGTCGAGCAGCCCGCTGAAGAGCGCGAGATGGCAGCCCACAGGCGCTCGCTCCGCGAGATGGCCGCCGCAACGCGCAAGCGCCTGCAGGCCGCCAAGGACATCGGCATGACGGCCGAGCAGCTCAAGCCGCAGCAAGAGGAGCATGCAGTCCAGCTCTGCATGATCATCACGGCCCGAGGGACGGGCGCAGGTTGTGATCGGCAACGGGCCTTCGTGCAGCGGGCTCAAGTCAAGCTCGAGAAGGCCCAGGCGGCGGCTGACAAGGCTCGGAAGACCCTGGAGGAGATGGACGCCAAGGTGCAGCAGCGCGAGCAGGTCCTGCCGTGAGCGGGCCCGAGGACGCTGCTGCCCCGTCCACGGAAGGGCCGCCCGCGGCGCCGATGCCCGAGGAGCTCAGGGCCCGCGCCGCGGCGGCGCGGAAGGCCGAGAGCGAGCAGGACCGTGCGCGCCGACCGACTGGCCAGCGGGGACTTCGCGATGCCACTGCGCGCCAGGAGGCGGCCAGTCATCGAGGCCGTGGCGCTGTGCCTCCTCCTCCTCCTCCTGCTCCTCCTCTCCTCCTCCTCCCCCCTCCTCCTCCTCCCTCCCCCCCTCCTCTCTCCTCCCCCTCCTCCCCTCCTCCTCCCTTCCTCCTCCTCCTCCTCCTCCTCCTCCTCCGCCTCCTCCTCCTCCTCCCTCCTCCGCCGCCTCCTCCTCCTCCTCCTCCTCCACCTCCTCCTCCTCCCCCCCCTCCTCTCTCCTCCTCCTCCTCCTCCCCCTCCTCCTCCTCCTCCTCCTCCTCCTCCTCCTCACTCCTCCCTCCTCCTCCTCCTCCTCCCCTCCTCCTCCTCCCCCCTCCTCCTCCCCTCCTCCTCCTCCCTCTCCTCCTCCTCCTCCTCCTCCTCCTTCTCGCTGCCGAGGTCGGAGCAGATCACGCCGCGGGCGCGGCGTCACGTCCCCGCGGCACCGCCGCGGCCACGGCCCGCGGAGGGCCGGCCAGGACGGCTCTCTGGCCAGCCACGGAGGCGGCGCGGAGCAGGACGACTACCTGTCAGACCACCCCAACCCGAAGACCCGAATTTCGGGGGGGGGGGGGTCACGGGGTTCGTGCGTTCTTTCACAATGTTCCCCGACCCCCCCCCCACACTGGAAAGGGAGGGCAAATCGGGGCCTTCAGGTTGGGTTGGGGTGGTCTGGTGGGCGGTGACAGGAGTCCTCGGCGCAGGAGTGACGCGGCTTAGCCGGCAGGCCCTGCGGAGTGGGATGCCGGAGCCGTCGTGTCACAGCCTGCCCGGCGCGGGCATGTCGCCAGCTTCGCCCTCTGCCACGTTGCCTCAGATGGAGTCTGATACCCTGCGTCCGCGATGTCCGATCCCGTATTGCAGTTCTGGAAGTAGGCATCCCCGTCTGCCATGGCTAACATGTGCCTCTCTTACGCCAGTTTTTCTCGGGCCCGAGCGCCGCCCCGATCATTGCCTTTTTCACCCCTACATCCGTAGCAGTACCAGCCAGTTTTTCGAGACCCACGGAGCTTCCCCCCCGATGACGATCAGGTTATCAGGTTCGAGGTTTACACAGATGGGTCCTGAGGGTCCAAACAGCTTCAACTGGGTAGACCACCGTCCTGGGCATGGCGTACGTTTGCAGTAACGGCGACAGGCAGGTACAGGTGGCACCAAGACCCGTTGCCGATACCAAGACGCGGCCGGCCCTGTTCTGCCCGGACGCATGCTAGCTCTTGCTCACCGATTCTCTGCTCGCCGCTTTCATCTGATTGGCACTTTGGACACACGCTCGTGTCCCAACGGGTGGACGCCTGCAGGAGACTCTCTGGTTATCGCTGCCGCTGCTGAGGATCGAGGGAAGGATGGAGTTGCCTTGTGGATCAACACGCAGCATGACTACGCTCGCGATCACACGCTTGCACGGCGACATGCACGCGTGATCAGCCACTCGTCCCATCATCTCTCGGTGGCGATACGTGCTCCCAACTCGTGCATCGATGTTCCTGTTGGCCATGCTCGTCACTCTCGTCGCCATCTTGCCAAAGTACAATCTTGGGGGGGGGGAATCTGGCTTCTGTGCTCAGCAGACGGGCCCAGCCCGCGCCACTGTACTGTCTACATTGGTGACGTGGCGCCCGAGGTTGAAAACGACAACGGCAAATGCTTCTATCAGTTTCCACGTACCACGGAGTCTCTCGAACCCGAAACGTTCCCCCCGTGAACCCATTCCCCTTAACGCCGCCCCTGATCACTCTGCAACTTGGATGCTTGGAAATGAACACCAGCACCAAAACAAGGGGGGGGCGTCCATCGGGGGCGGGTGGTCTCCTCCGGCCCCCTTGGGAAGCTGGAATAGCACCACCATCACCGAGGAGATCGGTTACATCTTCCCTCGGTGGAAGCACACCGCGGGTAGATTGGTGTTGTTGCCAACCCCTGAGCCCCCGAGCAAGGGCGCGGCCTGAGGTTCGTGAGGTAGAGCGCCGCGTTGCAGCCGCAGCCGGCATCCTCCCCTCCCAGCTCGGCACGGCGGGCCTCCCGCCGCGACGGCCTGCACGCCGGTTCTTGCCGGGCCGCCAGAGGCGGAGGAGGGCAGACGAGGCAAGATAAGATCAGATCAGAAGCAGGCTGCAAGCGCCGAGGCGAGCGAGGGGGAGGACCAGTGCCAGCCCAGGGCTCATCAGCGATGTTGGAAGAAACCCTCCCCCCGAGCTCCCTCGTCACGGGACCCTACAAAGACTCATCTCCACTGAAGGAGATGCCCCGTAGGGAGACAACCATTTGAAGATCCTGAAGCGTGCCGATGCACTATTCTGGGGACGTCAACGCCACGAATCAACCTGACTGTTGCGTTTTGACGATCCTGAGTCGTGCCGGAACACCGCTCCTGGGACGTCAACATCGCGAATCAACATAACTGTTGCGCCCTGACAATCCTGAAGCGTTCCGAAACACTGGTTTATGCTAACCATGATACGTTAACCATGGGAATCCATAAAACTCTTGCAAATCCTTAAGACGAATGTGCGAAGCGCCATGGCGAGAGCTACCTTTCGAAGAGGAGCCACCCTCAGTCCGTGAAACTCTTGCAATTGTTTTAAACGAGTGTGCGCGTCGCTCAGACGAGAGCCACATTTTGAAAACAGCCCGCCCTCAATCTGTGACAACTCTTGCAGATGTTTTAGACGAGTGCGCGCGGCGCCAAAGCGAGAGCCACATTTTGGAAGCGGCCCGCCCTCCATGTGTGAAAGCGCTGTCAATGTTTAAGCTTCAGGTTCATAACTGGTAAAGAAGTCTCAGGCGAAGCGCCTGGCCCGCCCTTTCGACCGACCTCGGGGTGCGACAGGGAGGAGCTATCTGAAGGAACAGGCATGGAGGAGGTGAGAGAGGCGGCGAGAGAGGAGGAGCCTTTAAGGTAGAGGAGGTGAGGGAGGAGAAGGAGGAGCAGGAGGAGGAGGACGAGGTGGAGGAGGTGGAGGAGGAGGCCGCCACCTGCGGGGAATCACCCCCCGCGCTCGGTGGGGGGGCGCCAGCCTCTGCGGGCGGCGACCGCGAAGCCCGCGAAGAAGTGCAAGTCCAACTACGAGCGCACCGGTACTCCGTGGAGATCACCGAGGCCCGCTGGCCCCAGGCCGAGAACTACAGACCTCGCACCTGCTGCGAGGTGCCGCATCGCATACGCAGCACGAAGAGGCCACGTCGTCCCCGCCACGGACATTGCCATTGCCGAGACTTACGCCCACGCCGATCCCAACACCAACACCCACGCCAACGCCAGCACCACCACGGCCAACGCTTACGCAGACGCCAGCACTAGCAACGACTTCATGATGAACCCGAACGCCGCCGTCTTCATGCCCGCAGACACCGTCCGCGGCACCATGAGCGGCGCCCAGGACGACCAGGACCAGCAGCAGCACCACCACCACAACTGCCACCAGCCCTACCGCGACCACGACTGCGACCCAAGCAAAGAGCTGCGTAACCGGCAGCAGGGCTCCGCCGACACCCACGCCGACGACTACGCCAGCACCACCGCCGACGCCTTCGTGGGCACCCAGAGCACCTACGACCAGGCCAAGGAGGGGGAGGAAAAAAAGGAACTGGCGGAGGCTGGCGTCGAGAAGACGTCGGAGGACCCCCAGGACTACCTGGGGTTGATGGAGGACTCGGAGGAGCACCTGGGGGACCTGGACTTGGCTGAGGAGGTGGAGGCCCAGGAACCGGCCCAGGACGAGGCAAGGAATCCGTTCAGGACGAGGCCCAGGCCAGGGGTCGCCTTCCCGACAGACCGCGATCTCAGGGAGGCAGCTGCTGAGGCCGTGCGAGCCGCCACAGCACGCAGCCAGCAGCGCCACCGACACGCGGCGGCGGCGGCGGCACCGACATCCACGTCAGCACCGACATTAGCATGGACTCCAGTACCCACGCCAGCATCGACACCAGCACCGCCCTCGCCGTCGACGCCAGCACCAGCGCCAGTATCAACCCCAGCATCAGCGCCAGCATCGAAGACGGCATCGGTTCCAGCACCAGAGCCAGCATCCACGTCACCACCAACGCCAGCATCGACGCCAGCACCCACGATCACATCGACCCCCGCATCGCAAGCAGTCCTTACGACAGAATCGACGTCAGTATGGACACCTGCATTACTGCCAACATCGAAACCCACCCCGACGCCAGCATCAACTACAGCGTTTGCCTCAGCATCGGCGCCAGCATCCGCACCAGCATCGAGGACAGCATGGACCCCAGCATCAGCACCAGGATCGACGCGACGCCAGCACCGAAACGAGCGCTAACCCCAGCATCGACGTCAGCATCGACGCCAGGAGCGACAACAGCACTGGCGCCAATATCGACTAGAGAATCGAAGATTCTCGCGACTCCAGCACCGGAGCCAGACTGCACGTCAACGACACCAGCACTGACCCCAGCATCGAAGCCAGCAGCGACGCCAGCATCGAAACCACCACCGATCCCAGTATTGCAGCAAGCATCGACTCCAGCACAGCCTGCATCGACGTATGCACTGACGCCAACAACGAATCCAGCATCGACGCCAGCACCGACGCCAGCAACGACAACAGCATCGACACGGGCATCGAAGACAGTATCGACTCGAGCACCAGAACCCGCACCCACGCCAGTATCAACAAGCACAGCATCAACCATCGACGTGCAGAGATTGGATATGACGGCTGCGGAGGAGGATCGCGTGGCGGCGGCGCTTGGGCAGGCGGCGTCGGCAGTGGCTCGGACGGCGGTTGAGGGAACGGCTGGGGTGGGCTCGGCGTCGTCGACGGCAGAGACGGCGGCGGCGGCTGGGGCGGCGGCGGCGATGGTCCCAGCACCAGTGCCAGACTCAACGCCAGCAACCGACGCCCGCATCGAGGTCAGCACCGCCCAAGTCAGCAACGACACCAGCACGGACTCCAGCTCCAACGTCAGCATCGACACCAGCACCGACGCCAGCATCAACCTCAGCATCAGCACCAGCACCGAACACGGCATCGACTCCAGCACGGGAGCCAGTATATACGTCACCATTTACGCCAGCATCGACGCCAGCACCCACGCTCGCATCGACCCCCGCATCGAACATAGCCCTCACGACAGCATCGAAACCAGCACCTCCCCCGTGGGCGGATGGACCGCAGCAAAAAGCATGGCCTGTGCTTGCGCCACCATCGACGCCAGCATCGAGGGCTATCTTCACCCAAGCATCGCAGACAGCACCGGCGTCAGCATCGACTACAGTATCGAAGATAACATCGAATCCAAAACTGTTGCCAGACTGCACGTCAGCGACAGCAACACTGACCCCAGCATCGAAGCCAGCAGCGACGCCAGCATCGACACCAGAACCGCCCCCAGTACTGCAGCCAGCCCCGACTCCAGCACACCCTGCATCGACGTCCGCACTGACAACAGCAGCGAAACCAGCATCGACGTCAGCATCGACGAAAGCATCGACCCAGCATCGACGCGCGCATCGAGCACAGTATCGACTCGAGCATCGGAACCCGCATCAACGCCAGCATCAACACGCACAGCATCCACCATCGACGGGCAGAGCCAGGATGTGACGGCGGCGGAGGAGGATCGCGTGGCGGCGGCGCTTGGGCAGGCGGCGTCGGCAGCAACTGGGGCGGCGGTTGGGGGGGCGGCTGGGCTGGACTCGGCGTCGACGACGGCAGAGACGGCGGCGTCGGCGGCTGGGGCGGCGGCGGCGGTGGCGATGGCCCAAGCACCAGTGCCAGACTCAACGCCAGCACCGACGCCCGCACCGAGGTTAGCACCACCCAAGTCAGCAACGACACCCGCGCGGACTCCAGCAGCCACGTCAGCATCGACACCAGCACCCACGTCAGCATCGACGTCAGCATCGCCAACATCAACCCCAGCATCAGCGCCAGCACCAGAGACGGCATTGACTCCAGCACCGGAGCCAGAATCTACGTCACCACTAACGCCAGCATCGACTCCAGTATCGACGGCAGCACACACGCCCGCATCGACCCCCGCAGCGCTGCCAGCACCGGCGCCAAAATCGACGCCATCACCGACCTCAGAAAAGCATCAAGCACCGACGCCAACAACGTCGCCTGCAGGGACGTCAGCATCCATGCCTGCATCGAGGCCCTCACCGACGATACCGCACCCTCCAGCATCGACGCCAATACCGACGCCTACGGCGACGCAAGCACTGACACCAGCACACTCTCCAGCCTGGACGCCGACATCGTCGCTAACAGCGACGCCAGTACCGACCTCAGCACTGGCGCCAGCACGGCCTCCAGAATCGGCGGCAGCGCCCACGCCTGCAGCGACCCCAGCACAGTCAGCACAAATACCAGAACAACAACCAGCATCGTTGCCAGCAACGACGCCTTCAGCGAAGCCAGCCAGCATCGACGCCTGCATCGACGATAGCAATGACGCCAACATTGACGGAAGCACCAACGGCTCCCCGACCGCGGCTCCCGAGTCTGGCCACTAGGTTGGACCGACGTGCCACGTCGACGACGGCATCAACGTAAATGTCGGCGCCGCCATCGACTCCAGCCCCGACGCCAACCGCGACGCCTGCAACGACCCCAGCATCGCCGACAGCAGCACCGATACCAGCACAGCCACCAGAACCGATGCCAGCATCGATGCCTACAGCGGTGCCAGCACCGACGCCTGCATCGTCTTCAGCACCGATGCCAGCACGCATCGCGTCATCGGCATCGACACCAACGATGACGCCTGCAACCGAGCCGCCAAGCACCTTCCCGACCAGCGCGGACCGGTCTGGCCTCGGACCCCATCCTGGCGTCAGCGGTGCATCATCTGACTCTGCAGGCCAGGTTTCCACTTTGACAATCACGCTCTGCGCTCGACCTTCAGCCTGTTCGGCCCTGTAAGAGCCTGTCACGTCGGGCTAGGACCGTTCGAGCGCTTCCTCGATTGCGGCTTCACATACTACGCCACTGAGAAGGCCGCAAGGCCTGCGATTA